ACTTTCCTGCCCCAGATGCATAATGTTTTCAGAGCTGGAACAGACTTCAAAGATGATGCCCATTATACAGATACCACAGCACATTAGTGACTAGAACACTAAGGAACGTACCAAGAATTGGAGGCCCACAAAGCAAAGATTCACATAAATTCCCTCAGTAAAGATTGCTGGATGAATTCATTAAGGAAAAGTGACATTCAAACACTCGAAAGACAGGGCTTCAAAATGGCCTACTCTGTAGATATAGAAAGTACCTAAAAATATGGTAGTTCCGACAGCACTCAGAAACACCACAACCATGGGCCTGAAAGGAGACAAGAGTCAGCAAACTATTCTCTTAAAGTTGATGGGCAAAGCAGAAGAGGGAGGGGTCTCCACAGGCTCATATGAATTAAAGTTTTTGCTCATTATTTTATCCTTAGGACCCTGCATACTGCTTGGCAAACAGTATAACGTTCAGTAAATATTTGTTGAACGCATGAAAGTAAGAAAGACAGGCCAGAAGAGACCATCTCTGCTCGTGCACGCAAAGCAGGGTACTGAGTATAGCATCCCCCACGGAGTGGGGCCTTTTTGGTTGTCTGGCCCAAGAGTGATAGAAACTGATTGCCCACACAGTGGAAGGAACATGAGCTTTCGAGTCAGGAATACTTGGGTTCAAACTCAAACTCCGTATGATCTTGGCATAAGTACTTGACCTCTTTGAGCCTCAGTGTTTCATCTTTAAAGGGGGATTAATACCACCTACTTCACCTCTAAAACAGGCATGATGGTATTTATCCTTAAGAAGTTTCTGGAAGAAAATTACATGAATATATTTATGCAAAGTAGCTAGCACAAGGGCCAGCATACAGTATGAACTTAACAAATGGCAGTGTGGGTTGGAATTAATCATGCCCTCTCCAGCCAGAACCTATATTCTCCTAGGTCACCTCTAATCATTCTCTGTAGTCTTTCTGATAGGAAGTTGCAGAAATAATTCCAGTGTAAGTTCACTAGATTTTCTAACAATGCCCATTTCTTTAAATAATAAAATCATGTATACATTCCTTTTCAGTTTACAAAATAACTTCATATTCACACACATAATTCTGATACAGTGCATTACTATTATTCCATGTTTAATAGATGAAAATACTATTATCTGTGTTTAATGGATGAAAAGACTAAGACCACCTAGCCAGCAAGAGGCAGACTGAGACAGGAACTATAGATTTTAACATTTTATTCTAATGACCATCAGTTTCTTAACCTGAAATTCAAACGAATGATCTTTCTACGGAATAAAATACTCCAACTCAGACTGCTCCAGAACTCATGTCAAATGCTGATTGGATTACCCTAATACAGCTGAAAGCAGAAACAAATTTCTGAAAGAAGAGACAATTTTTTTTTTAAACAAAGCCCCTCCTCTGGATTTAATACCTCAATTCTTGATAGAAAAAGACTTGGAAGCAGGCCAAGAGAGTTTTAGCAACATCTCTTCCATTTATTAGCCATGGGACCCTGGATGATTCTTAACCCTAGTAAATTTCAATATCCTCATCTGTGTAATGGGAAAGCAATACCACTCCTAAGGTTGTGTGAAGTTCCTGGCACAGAGAAGGCAGTCAGTAAGTGATAACTACTCTAATGACCACAGCATGGTACCAACCATCTGGACTGAAGGGGAAGCGACTTCTTATTTCTTCCGGGCTCTTCTAGTTTCTTCATAACCCCTGTTCTGCATCTGTTCAATGGGGACACAACCAGTCTTCATTCGACCTCACCAGGGAATGAAGATAACAAAAGAGCTGGCAGAGACACTATGCAAATACCAAATATTATTAAAATATTAATGAACTCTGGCAATTTCCCTGAATTCTGATAAATGGTGTTTATTATGCACTGCCAGCCTCTCCCACAATCTGGGCTCTCACATATTAACTAGATAATAACAGCAATCATTCTCCTAAAACACCAAGGTGTAAAATAAATAGTGAGTCTAGATGACTCCCGCAAATACCTGCCTCCAAAGGAATCAGAATCTCCGGACAAGCAGAGAAGGTCAGGACAGACCATGGACAGCTGGGTGACCAGCAGCAGGCTCAGATCAACTCCACAGACTATGCAGACCCCTGCTTTGATAGGACAGTGGAGTTTCCCGGTGCTGACGGGTCACTGTTTATGACAACAGCCTACCACAACTTTGCCCTTCTGCGTAGTAAAGTTGCCTCCAATCTCGATAAAACAAAAAGGATCTGGGAAGCCGGTGGTCGGGGGCTTTAGTCCAGGCTAACAATCTCATACAGAAAGTGGCTGCCCCTGCCAGCTGCCTAAAAACAGAGGTAGCGTTATCCACAGCTCCATTAAAGAGGTTTGCACCAAACTCCTCTGCCATTTCGTTCTGTGTGAGGGGATAATGTTTTTAGGCTGCTGACAATCCTCAGGTGCCGCTCAGACAGAAGCAAAACAAAGCCAAGAGGACTCACACCCACCCCCCAAAAGCTCCCAGAAATAAGGGCCTGGTGCCACCCCTGTTAACACCTTAACAAGCTGAGGGTCATTAAGACACATCATTCGCATATTCATGAAAGACTGTGGACTGTGGCAAGTGAAACAAAGTGCACAAAAAGAGATTTTGTTTTTTCAAGCCAAGCGAAAATCCTCTTTAGGAAAAGTAAATCCACACAGGGACCCTTGCTGTCGCCAAACCTTCACTTGTCTAGAGCAGCCAGCACCTCATTAAAGGAAAGCAAGCAACTCACAAATGAATGCAGCACCACACACAGGCAAGCTCATTTCGCCATCTGCCTTCTAGTGTCCAGAGGGGGCAAGAGGCTTAAACGACATTCTCCTGAATTTTCTCTCCCGCAGGTGGAAACATCAAATTCCCAGGGGGCAAGAAACACTTCTCTTGCGAGATCAACTTTGTAAAAATGAATAAAAGGGAATTTCATTTACCTGTCAACAACCATGCCACTCATGACATTAAACACAAAATAAATTAAGCACCCTGCAATAATTCACCCTTCGTAAAGACTTTGAGAAATCAGTGTATCAGCCGTGGGGTTAGCACAGGATTTCCTCATGAGCTGGGCACTTAAACTTACCCCTCCCCACAGCCTCCCATTTTCTGTTCCATGACTATCCTGACTGATGGTGACCGAGCACCTTTTCCTAGTGAACGACCTAGGACAGGAGACATTGGAATTGAGGCCGGCGCTATAATAACACAATGGCAGACTTCCATTATATACGTCAAGTAGAAAGGACATGATTAAGCAACTTATTAAATAAATGCCCTGAGCCTTCTCTGTGTATCCCCACCCTTCTGACAATCACTGTGCTGGTTTTCAGATCTGAAAGCTTTGTAAGCTTGTAAGCTTCCCACCGCAAGGTTAGGGAGTTATTTAAACACTCACGCACACGCGCGCGCGCGCGCACACACACACACACACACTCACACCCCACATTTAATTCAATATTAGTTGAATGGTCGAATCTCTCAATGGAGAACTTTTCAACCCCATACACAACCTAGGATACACTTGGGGAGTGTGGAGCAAAAAGTAAAATCCAGCCCCAAGTTTTAACATGCTTCATCCAACTTCCCAAAGCGTTACTACCCACCGCCGGCACACGTACAATTTGTATTACCCCCAACCTGGGCTGTGGGGAGGAAGCAAACCGAGAGGTAATACCCGATGATAGAACCAGCAAGGACAGCAGACAGCCGGCTGAAATCCAAGTAGACGGCAGGAGGAAGGCAAAAGCTCAGTCGTCCTCTGTGGTCCAAGACCTTTTTCAATTAAATTTCCCACTACCTGGAAAATTGCCTACGAATGTATTTGTCAAGCGCGCAAAGACACGCGGTGGGGCAGCGCTACACTGGAGTCCCAGTTCTGCGGAGTGTTCACCGCCAGGCCACGTACTGCATGCAGCCAGAGTTGCACTGGTGGAGCCGCAAGCTACGCGGGAGGCTCCCAGCAGCGGACACTCACTCACAGCACTAATCCGAACGACAGGACACCTGGGGAGGGGTTCGGTCTCCCCGGCCTGACTCAATTATTTTCCTTTACACAACATTCAACAATCTGTTAAGGAACTGTAGGTGCCAGGCCGGGGGGTGGGAGGGGCGGCATTATTCTAAACCCGGACGTCGCCGGGGTTCGAAACCCAGGACACCTCTCTCGGCCGGTGCATAGACAGCACACAAAGAGGAAGGGACTGGCGCTCCTCGGGGTCAGAGATCTGAGCGTGGTCGTTTTCGAGCTGGAAATTAGGAATTCCGAGCTCGGCAAGAAGCCCGGAGAAGCACCGGAAATGCTTCCGACCGCTTCGATGGGAAATCTACTTGCAAATCAAAGTTGCAGGAACTCCCTGCGCCCAGCCTACTTGAGCGGGTTACCAGGGAACACCCAACAAGTTTGGCCACCGGGGGCCAGGCTTGACAGCGCCGCGCCGCAAGCGAGACTAGAGAGCAACTTGTCGCTCGGGCGCCGAGCCAGAGTCCCAGGCTGTCTCCGCTCCCCGAGCTCTGGGGAGGACCCGAGACTCGGCGTTGGGAAGGAGCAGGTCCTTTTCTTTGGAGACAAATCCCTTAATTGAAAGGCGCAGCCGGTTCTCACCTGGACCGCGCGGCTTCCAGGGGCTTCCCCCCAAACAGTGAGACGTTTCACCACGAACACTTCACCTGCCTTCCAGGCCCCAGTCGGTGAGAAATTAACAAAAGAGCCAGCGAACTGGGGTGGAAAAGGGACCCGGCACAAAGTATAGTAGGGAGGGGAGGGAAGGCAGCTCAGGTTGCCGCGGAGAAAGAAGGGAAGAGGCGGAACAGAGATGGGTTATACACCCCAGGCACCCGGCGGCTCCGGGAAGAAAATCAAGAAGGAAAGAGCGCGCGAGAAGGGGGAATGGGTTCTTTACCCCGCTTCCCATCTCACACATACACACACACACACACACACACACACACACACACACACACATACACACACATCCCTCTTTTTCCTTCTTACCCAGCATGGAAAAGATGAAATCCTTGGCTGTGTGAATCTCCAGTGCTCTCTGGTCGTCATATTCCCGCTGGTCGTGCTTCGAGAATTCTTGGATGAGTTTGTTCAATTCCTCCACCCGAGCTCCCGACCTGAAATCCAGCTCCGGGAACGCAGGCTTGTTGTTACAGCCCAGGGAGGCTGCCTTGCTGGCGGTGGGAGCCGCCATCTTCATACAAAACGCGCCGAGTAGCAGCTCCGCGGCGGCGGCGGCAGCACCCACCCCCGCCCCCCCACCCAGCCCCCCTGAGCCTCCTCCCCTCGCCGGCTCCCTGGCTGTGACCCCGGCCCGTGGGCGGGCTGGCGGGCGGGCGTCTAGGCAGGCGGTTCCGGCTCGGTGCGCTCCGGGCGTCCGGGCTTCAGAAGGATCTGGACTACAGCGAGAGTGCGTGTGTGGCCCCGACACCCTTCCCTGCGGCCCCACGCCCGCCCAGATGCTGCAGGTCTCTGCCCTCCCCTGGACCTAGCTGGCAACTGCGGTAGCGGTTGTAGAGCCAACCCGAGCCTCCCCCGGGCGAGGAAAGTGAAGTGGAAACAATGTGAAATTCACCAGCTCTGAAATCAACAAGCTGCCGGCTCCGGTGTTACGGAGCCAGCACCAGCGTCCCCCATTTAAAGGGACAGCGCACCCAGTGGAAAGAAAAATAAATAAATGACAGAGGTCTGCGCGCCTATGCCACTTGCCAATCTGTACTCGGGCAGACGAGAGAGGTGTAGACCTATTCTTTCTCTACCTCCACCCCTTTTGGGGGCAGGGCTTGCCAAGCGCGTTCATGAAGGGAGCCTTCCTCTGTCTGATTTTAAGGGCGGTGTCCTGGGCGAGGGCATCCCTATGGGAGCGTTTCCGTCTCTAGAACTCCAAAGACTTTAGGTGGTGAAGGAACCTGCCTTAAGGAATATGAACCAATCTTCTGCCGTTTCTGCACAGATTGCCAAATATGATATGATTAAGCGTATCTAAAAAAAAAAAGAGACAGTGCCCACCCCGTCCCTTATAGACACGCCCATTAGCCACTAAAGTATCCCAACCTTTGCCCGAGGTAATTAATTTTTCCTGGATAACAGCCTATTAAACTTAACATACAATGACTTAATGCGGTTCA